GAAATTAAGTTTGGTCCCGTGGACTCTCCAACCCATTTCACCATGAGTTGCAAGGCCAAATTTCGGGAATTTGGTAGAACCATTGTTCCTAACTAAACCTGAACTGAAGTACAGTTGAGGCTAGTATAGTTTTGAAATTAACTATCAGAGAGCTGATCTATAGGTAAGGACAGAACGTTTTACATTTTGGAATACATTTTTAATTCCCATTTCCTCAAGCAACTGTGCCTATCACCGTTATTGAACTATGCAGGCATTTTGAGAAAAAAAAATCCATAGACAGCATGAATGTTTAATTTTGCATGTGCTGCTCTAATTTTAAAGAGCTGATTGCCTATATTAATTTCGCTCTATTGTTGGACTATGGCTTCTGTTGAAAGAGAACCTTGTTCACCCAAATATACTGAGCAATCTTTTCAAATTAAGCATTCCTTCCTCTCCAGCTGATGTATTCTTTTTCCTTCTTATTTTTCCCTTCCTTATCATCACCTAAATGATGTTGGCAACGTTTGTCCTTCTTAGGGTTCCTATTTAATCTTTAAGCCACAACGGACAGACCTTCAAATAGAGGAAGCTGTCAAATCATGTCTTGGTCTCGGTAAAAGAGAACGCAAGGGAGATGCCAAAGGTACAGAGAGCTGCTACCAACCAGAATACAAAGCACCAGGCCGCATGGACAAATATTATGATTACATTTATAGCCCCCTTTTTCCTCTGGCAAGGAATCCAAGGTGGCTTACAAGTTTTTCCTTCTCTCCATTTTATCCTCCTAGCAACAACCCTATGAGGTAGGCAAGGCTGAGCATCAGGGAGCAGCCCAAAGTCAGCCAGTGAGCTTCAGGGCTGAGGGCGGATTAAAACCTAGATCTCCCAAGTTCCAGCCCAGCACTCTAACCACTAGGAATCATTACTCTGGGAATAATGACAATTTCCTAATATTTAATCTGGATGCTAAATTCAATCTGCCATTTAAAGAACTGACCTGTTTAAGGCAGCGATGCCCACAAGTACACAAATATCTTCTCCCCTCCACCCAGAAACTAAGGGTGCCTGATCAAGTATTTTGGTCAGGAAAGCAACTGGGATAAAGTGTTAAACACCCCTTCTTCAATGCTGCTGCTTCAGCTCCCTGAAAAAATAAGAATATCTGGTTTAAGAGCTCCTGGATTAAGTTCTATCCAGTTTCTAAGGCCATGAATCATTTCCAGTTTCTCTTCCAAGTCTGTACCGAAGGTTAATTCATTTTGCCTAAATGCAGCTGACTTGTGCCTTGGGAGTGCTTTCCAAGTCCTCTCTCAGAAGCCCTCTTTCTTCCTCTTTAACACAAAACAACATTGCAAACATTCGTGCCCAGAACAAATGCGTGACGGTGTCATAATGAGATTCCATAATGAGCAATGGCTACCTACCTAAAACCAATTAATTCTTTGTCTGGACAGGTCGAAAAAACTGAGCCCTGTGGAAAAGAGGAAATGCCAAACACTCTCCGAGTACCAGTTTGTGTATCCAGGTAACACAAAGCAAAACACAGACAGATTCTCAAATCTGGGTTTTTTCACTGCTCGGGATCAAGAACAACTCATCTCGGAGTGGTGGGGGGGGGGGCAGGTGTAGATTTGAATCAGAAGGGACAAGGCCCCCATCCAAAGCACTGATGGTTGCATCCAGTTCCTATATACATGCTTTCTCGGGATGGTGCTTGCTGCATGGATTACTTTTTATGACTATTTATTTATTTAAAGACGTATTTTCGACCCTGTGTTCCCTTCGCTGTCTCCTCAGGAAGGGCTGTTTTCCACTGCACCAAGGAAAGTGTGAAGCAACAGCTCCGCTCCATCTATGTGGGACATGCGGACCGGAAGGCCCTGAGACCGGGCCACCCCATGATCCGGATCCCCCATGGCCACTGGGAAACAGAGCGGGCCCAAAGGTAGCCACGAATTTCCCAGCACAGCCTTGCTTGGCGGGCATTTTAATTTGGGGCCGGTTGGGTGGACGGCTTGTCTGAACATGGCAGTGGAGAGCAAGGGTGTGTGCTAACCCTTCCCACCCAGCCCGCCCGCCCGCCCGCCCGCCCCAGAAGGCGTTACGCATTCACACAAAGAGGTTGTGTTCAGACAGTCCCGAGCATCGCCTTGGCCGGCCTGGCTGATGGCTGGGTTCTAGACATCCAGCCTACAGAGCAGGTGTGTTTGTGTGTGTGTGTGTGTGTGATTAAGTGTCAGCCCCATCCAAACATGACATGCATGCATGGAAAGCCGCTGCGGGTCTGCCAGGTGGACAACGCCCTTGCTTCCCAATGCACCAGCAGCAATTGCTTCTCCACTGTGGGAGACCAGTGTATTCTCCTCCAGACTCGGGCTCCGATGCCTTCAGAGTAGTTTGAGAGGCCCCCTGAATGCAACCCGTTCGGCGCTCTAGCAAGAGCAATTGTTCCCTTCCCTGGCAGCTCGGAAGTGTTCCAGAGTGAACCGGTCTCGCCCACTCACCACCCACGCGGGACCCCAAGAGAAAGGTGGCCCTTGACGAAAAAGTGGTCTTTGCGGATAGAATATTAGGCAGGCCAGGAAGCAATGCCCTGGGGGGCTTCCATTCCTCAATCGTTCCCCTTCTTGTTCCCCCATAACGGGGCATGCAGAGAAGACTCCTTGGAACACGAAAACAGTCTCATGGAAAGTACCTTTCCCATTGCTGGTTCAAAATAATAGTTGTTCTATCTCTTGAAAACATTGGATGGAAGTTTCTACGAGGCGGTCTGCCCATGAATACTCTTGATTTCTTGTTCTCCTTAATGTTCTTTAACCTGGAATTAGAATCGGACCGGACATTCCTTCAAATAGAGGGCTGTCCTCTGTTAAATAAGCATCCTTCTCGTGAATGCCAGGGCTTCTCAACGGTGGCCCAAATTCCACGTGCACCTAGTGAGAAAGGATTGCTAGGAGCTGCCTGTCAGTCTGTTTCCTGTTGCATTCTGTTCTTCCAGGCAGAATCTCAGGGTTGATGCCAAATGTCCAGTTGGTAATGAGTTTCTGAGAAGCATGAAACCAACTATTCTGCCGTGTGGACTGACAAGCCTGACATGCAGAATCAATAAGCTGGTGCTTGCTAATGACAACCGAGTGGTACCCCCTCCGCATCTCCCACCCGCCCCAGCGGGAAATCAGGACCCTCCCCACCAGCCACAGCAGCCAGCCCCTCACAAAAGCCCCTCCCCAGCAGAAGAATTCCCGAGAACAAGCAACTGTACCGTAAGGAAAGCTGGCGAAGATCAGGGAGGAAGCTCCACCCGAGTCCAGGATGGAGCTGCACTGGCAGCGTCACCTGCTGGCCCCAGACGTTCCCTGAGGCCAAGGCCTGTGTCGGCAAAGGACCACTGGGAGAGGGCTCTGAACCAGACCTTCGGGAAGCAGCTCCGACGTGGGGGTCCTTCCTGGAAGGAAGACGTGGCCAAGGACACCCCTGGGCTCCACGTCAGAGACAAAGCCGCCCTCGCCCAGGCCAAGAGTGCCATCGTCGTCCCAACCATCAGCCAGTGCTCCTCCAGGGAAAGCTTGAATACGGAGGTGCTCCTCGCGCCTGGCTCAAACGCTACCCCTTTCCTAGCCAGAATGAAACAGCAGCTAATGCCGTGCGCACGCTTTTGCCCGCCCGTGCTGAAAGACGAGGAGCTGGACGCAGCTCCTACACACCGTTCTTGTGAGGAGAGAGGAGAGACGGACTCCTTTGCCGTTCCGGGGGGCAGGAGGTCTGAGCCCTCGAGCCTGGGCACCCTGCAGGCACCGGGCAGCAGGTTCCTGCCTGCATCTGTCTCACCCTGAACCAAGGACTTGCTCAGAGGCGTCTTTCTATTTAGCCAGGTCTAGGGCCTGCGCAATCCTCAGCTGAAAAGCTTATTTCACAAATCTATTCTAAAGGGGAAATAATGTTTGAGAATCGACCTGGGCCCTTGTTTTAACTGATATAACTAGCGTACAAGGGGCATGTGTATGAATCCATCTTGCACTCCTCAGCTTTAAATGCTCGATAAGGGACCGTGTGGCTGTGTTTGGAAGGACTTAAAACAAGGACGGCTGGCAACTGGAGGATTAAGACTGCAGGGGCGCAAGTTGTGCTGGGTGCGGCCGTTCGGAGAGGATTTCCTCAGCAGGGTCGCAAATGGGGCTTGCGTTGCAGTATTTCCCCTCTGTGCCTTGCTTCCTTCCACGGAACAAGCCCAGAGTGAGTCTCAAACCGCTGAGCGGAGGGGTGTCACAGATGGGGCGGGATTCAGTGAGCGTGGTGCCACCATGTTTGGCCAGAGCAGGAAGGCTGCTGCTGGACAGGTCAGAGTGGGTCCAGCAGCCCCACAGAGACCCCTGTGATGATGCGGCCTCGGTCAGTGGGCAACTTGCCGTTGTGTTCTTTGCTGCCCCTCTGAAGTGCAGTGGGAGACAGGGGTGACAAGACAGACATTTCCCGACAGCTCCTGGTATGGGCAAGCCAAAGGGAGCTGGGTCCCAGGATCCCCAGGGGAATCAGCGGACAGTCCATGTGCTCTGAGAGGGAGGGAGGGAGTTGAAGCCAGGCAAAGATCAAGATCCAAGGCAAAAGCCTGGAAAAGGGAGGATGCTGGAGGCAGTGCTTAGATGGAGAAGCAAGCCCAGGGGCTTTTTTTGGGGGTTAGGAACACAGATTGGCCTTCCAGGATTAGCTGATGGAATGCTTTGGGACCGTTTCCAAATTGGCACGCTCAAAGCTCAGACAGCCAGGTTGGCCGTGGAGCAGGAGGTAAGCCACCAGAGCTGAGCTACCAAGACCACCATTTCAGACCCCCGACCGGTGCCTTAGCAGCTTCCGAAGAAGCCCCTCCCCATAACACACACCGAAAGCAGGGAAGCGCCACGGAGAAAGAGACAACCTGCACAGAGACTAAAACTGTGAAACTAATGCCTGAAGCTTCACAGATAATCTTCATCTTTTAAACTATTAGGGTTTTAAAAATGCAGAGATTACTGTGGCACTGATGTTTTAGAAAAAATTTTATCTTGATGTTCTTCCTCCCCACCTTGGCTGGCCGAAAAGTTTCCACAACACACCCCAGAAAACAACGTTGTCGGCAGAGTTGTCTTCCGTGGAGACAGGCGGGATGGGATGAAGGGCCCAGGCAGGCTGAGCCGCGTTCCCCAGGTGGCCAAGGCGGCCGACCCAGCCGTATCCTGAGGACACTGTCGCTCGGCAAAGGAAACAGTTTCACCCTTCCGTAAGACCGGGGAGCCCGGCCTAGAGCGAGGCCAGTGGGGACACTGTCGGGAGGGGCAAGTCCATGGCCTGGGCATCGGCCACCTGGGCCGGGCTGGTCTTGCGGAGTTCCAGTTTGTCCCCAAGTTGGCTGTAGAGCTCCTTCACGGCTTCGCCGCTCTGCCAAGCAGCAAAATGAGAAACAAGCCCTCAGGCAAGGGCGGGGAGACTCTCTGTGGCCCCCGTCTGGCCCCTGGGCTCCCCAGAAGGCCCCACCCCTTCCCTCGGCTACCCTTTACTGGTTTGGCAGCCCTTGTGCCATTTCCCCCCCGTTTAAAAGGCTGAAATGCCTCTTCTAAGGTGCAGTGGCTGGCAGGAAGAGCTTTAAGCCCGAACACGCCCGACATTCCTTGGTTTGGGGCCCTGGCCAGAACTGAGAGTTCTGTCTGAAAGGGAAGCCCGCATGCCTTCCCCGGAGTCACCGTGCCCCCCGAAGAGACTTCCCAGCCCCCATGACCATGGCAGCCCAGCTCGGGGGTGGGGGCCTGCTCCCTCACCTGCTTGGTGGGCTCTAGAGACTTCTGCAGCGACTCCAGCTTCCCGGGGGCCACTTTGTGGTGCAGGTGGAGCAGCAGCCGCAGCGCATGCCGGTGCACGTTCTCCTTCCTGTCAGGCGGCAGAAGGCGTTGGGGGCGGCCGCACTTCGGCCCACAGCCGTCGCTCAACCCCTGCCTCCTGCTGGCCCCCTCTAAGTGGGGCGCCTGCCGCGGGGAGCTGGCACCAGGGCCCGAGGTGCCGGGAGGCTTTCACCCGCCAGGGGCCCTCTGGCCCTTGCGCCATCTGGCTTTCCGCACTCCCACTTGGCAACGCCAGCCGGGGCTGCTGGCAGATGGAGCCCAAAGCATTTGCGGGGACCCGGCCTGGGGAGGGATGGACGAGGGGCCCCCTCTGGCTGGCAAGGCGCCAGGCACGGGCACGGCGCGCCAGGCCGACTGGGGGTGAGCCTCTTACCTTGCGTAGGCAGTGAGGAAGAAGTCGTCGAAAAGGGCGGCACAGAACTCCTCCTGCGCAAATTCGTCGGCCAGGAGTGTGAGGTTGCTGGTGAGCAGGTGCAGGAAAATGTCGCCGAAGGCCATGTCGTTGAAGGTCTCCACTGCAGAACGCAAAGGGCCACGTGCAGCAGCCGAAGCCCTGAGGTGACCCTGCGGAGAGGCTCTCCCCTCCGCCGGGCGCGTTTTTCCCCACCCTGCTCCCCCCGAGGAGGGCAGGCAGGGGCACAGGGGCTCCTGCTCCGCCCGCGCAGCACCTGCGCAGAGAGCTTCATGGCTCAGCCGCAATCTGCTCCCGACGAACCATCGTCCGTCCACTGGCCTCTCGGCCTTCGTTTCAAGTGTGAAAGTGGGGCAGGTTTTTGGCACGGATGGGGGGCAAGGAACCAATAAAGGTGAGGAGGGTTCAGGGGCCCACGGTCTCCCTGCTTGTTTCTTCCATGTGCTGCTCACACGGCATCCCTATCGTTTAACTCACCCAGGGCCGGGAGGAGCCGGAGGAAGGCGCTCTTGTTCCGCTGCTTGGTGAGGTGGAGCATGTAGTAGAGCCCGATCTCACAGGCAATCCGGTGCTCCTGCAGGAACCTGGGCGCACAAGGGGAAACGGAGGCTGCTGGGCCCAGCTTTCCTCCAGGAAGGAAAGAGAACCAGCCATGCAAGTAGAAGCCCTACTACTCCCCCCGTCACTAGGTCAGAGCGCCTTCCTGGAACATCTGGGGAGGCCTTCTGGCTGGACCAGGAGGGAAGGAGACAGGTGCTTGGAAGAGGTGCAGATGCGGCGTGGAGCCAGTGAACTCGGGTTTGACTACAGGTGGGCCATGCCAGCAAAAGAGCTGCCGGGATGGGGAGGATCTGGGGGCAGCCAGAGAGGGAGCAGGCCTGCCGCTCGGTGGGTGGTGTTACAGAAGGATTAGGGGAAAGCTGAGGAGACAGCTGATCGCCAATGCCTGGATATCAGTCCAGGCCAACTCTTCCTGCTCTGTGTTATAAACATACTGTCCAGAGACAGCCTCTTTGTTAAGTGCAGCTTTCCCCTACCTTGCCCAGGAATAGAGCTTAGCTGGTAAATGCTTAGTAACACCTACTTAGGAAATGTTTCAGGGATGGCAGCTGGGTAAGGTGCTGGGCCCTTGTCCTCGGAAGGCAGCTTCTGATCGACGGTGTATGTATGGTCATCTACCACGAAGGACATCAGCATGGGTAGGAACTTGGTGATCAAGTCCACTTCCTGCGAAAGGGAAACCGAAGCTCAAACAGAGGCACACACGAGGTCATTCCGGCAATTTCAGCCAGACCACAAAAAGGATCACAGTGCACTGCGTTTCTGGAAAAGTTCCAGATTAACCAACTTCACGGGAAGTGTATGTTACTTTAGGGAGGGCAAAGCCTGCTGGTATCCCCCCGGCCGAAGGCAGCTCCAGCTTTAGCTTTGGTAAGGTCCGGGGAATTTCTTCCTTAAGCTATGAGGTTACAATGGTTAACAATGTGGCTCGTTTCTCTCAAAAGACAGCGTTCGCCATGAGGAAGTTCAGCCTCGGAATGTGAACTGGAGTGAGGAGAAGGGCTGGAATGCGGACCCAGGAATGTGCATTTCAAACGCCCTCTGTTTAGCCGGAAAGGGACACGGGGAGAGGTGTGCTCCGAACAGGTGCAGGCAAAAGGTACTCAGAACTGCCCCCCCCCCGCCTCTCTGCAGGATGCCCTCCAAGCTGCGTTCACTCAGCCGAGCCCCGCAGCCTGAGCAACCTGTCGAACAGACTTGCTCGCCGAGCGTGTCTTTTCTGTCCCCCGTTCTGCCTCCCGTGTTGACTGCAAGCCTGCCTGTGGCCAACCCGACGATCCCTTCACCTGTGCCAGACCAGATCCTGGCACCGCCCCCCTACCTGGGACCCCGGTCGCGACAGGAGCACTGTGTGGCCGCACTGCAGCATGGGGGAAAACCTCTGCACACCCCCCAAAGGCAAAGCAGTCGCACGAGCGGGTTACCATTTTGGGCTCCTTGAAGATCTGGCTGTCAATCATGTCCCAAGCTCCCTGGCCCAGGGACAGCATCCTCAGCAGAAGCAGGAGGTCTGGGCTTTCCTGGGCGAGAAACAGGCCACTAGCACCCTTGCCACGTCCGGACCCCCCGCTGCTAACCGTGCCCGAGAGGCACCTCACTCACCCTGGGCAACAGATCCTGCCCGACCAGCTCCTGCAAGTGGCGGATGGTGCTCAGCGCCAAGGTGTTGACAGCAAAGGGGTCGCACAGGATCATGGATAAATCCCTGGGTGGTGCAGGAGAGAAACCGCAAGCAGCACGTTAAGCAGTGTGCAACGAGGAGAGGCGTTCTGGCTCAGGCGAGATCATTTCGGTCTCTCTGAAGCAGTAAGGGCTAGGGTACAGGCCCCCCAAAAGACTAAATGCGGGGGATAATGGATACAGCACCATCTCGAAAAAGAACAGGTGTGCCAGGTCTCTGCTCCCAAGCAGCTTACAATCTGAGAACAGCCACAGGGAAACAGCAGCAGAAGAGGGAACCAGAGGCAAAACTAAACAAGGGGAAGAATGTGTGATTTGTGTGCCTGAAGTTTTGCCTGGTGTGGAGAGAGGGAATAGAGAGACACGGTTTTCCTTTTCTTCCTCTCACACCATGGAAGGATTTGGCTGGCCTAGTGAAACTGAATGGCTGCAGATTCAGGGCAGAATTGACATCTGGAATTTGCCGCCCCTAGATACAGATGAGGATGGCTACTCAGTCTGATGGCTTTAAAGGGAGAGGAGAAAAATCCAGGAGAGAGAGAGATTCAACCCTCCTTCTGTGAGTGAATTCCGCTGGTGAGCACCCACAGGCCGGGTCTCCCCCTCACAGATGTGCCACAGGTTGGTGTGCGCACTTGTGTGAGCCCGCCAGAGGGAGGGCAGCCTCCTCCCATCACTACGTACCATGCTTCATCGCAATGCTGGCCCAGAGCCCTTGGTTGTTGCCAGAAACTGACCCTGACTTCGGGTTCCCCTCTGAACGGGGCCCTCCAAACCCTCCTGCCCTCGACAGCCCTGTCCAGCTCGGGCAGACTCAGGGCTGAGGTTTCCTTGATGGAGTCCGTACTCCTCATACTGCTTCATGCAGGCAGGGCCATGCTTTTTAAAATTCCTCCCTCCAGGAGGAGATGTACAGATGATCGTCATCACTTTGTTTGAGCAAGCATTGTGTCTGTGAGATCTCCGACTCCTAAGAGGCAGGCTTGGCTCTGGGCAGGTTCGACGCCCAGCGGGAGCTCCCCCATCAGCTCCTCAAACTCAGCACTCCTCTGCGCAAGCCAGCTTCTCCGCACCCAAGGGACCCTCCAGACCCAATTTCTCGACAAGGACGCTCTCCCGTGGCAATCAGGGCTGAACGCCAAGATCACCTTCGAAACATCTCCCCGTTTTTCGAAAGGTCTCTTCCTGGAACGCCCAGCCTCGGGAAGGAGTTCTGGGCTGCTTGAAACTTGATGGGCAGCACGATAAACTCTGCTTGCTCTGAACTGAGCACACTGCTTGTTCGAACTGCCTCTGTGAATTTAGCGGCATTCCGAAGCGCGGCAGAGGAACGGAGCGCTGATGTAAGAGAACTCACCCCAGGACTTGCTCTTGCCCCTTCTTGACGCCATCGAGGAAGCCCTGCAGCTCCCGCGCCCGCTTATTGTCCACAAACTTCTCCCGAATGCAGGCATCCAGGCACCAGGTGAACTGCCAAGAAAGGAAGAGGCCGTCCCAGAAACTCACGCAGGGCTCCCCCACTTCGATGCGAGATCGATGTGACCTCTCAGGAGGAGGGCAAGGTATGGCTGGAAGAGGAGAGGCGTTCCCTCCGGTGGGCCCGGCCCGCCTGCTTGTACCTTGTGGCAGGGGTCGACTGCACAGATCTCGCTGATGTCGAGGTCGTGCAGGGACATCAGGAGCTCCGCCCGCAGCGTGCAGTAGTGAACGTTGCGGGTCCGCAGGAACAGGGTCCGCAGGAACTGCAGCACCATGTCGTAGAGCTTGATGTTCTTCCCGATCATCTGGGTGAGCTTCAGAACCACCTTCGCCCCAAAAGAAAGACGCGGCTCGGAAGGTCGGCCTATCCCCACAACGCGCAACACAGCCGGGCCTGAATTCGGGCTTATTCAGGTCCAGCGAATGCTGGAGATGCACAGAGGGCCAGTCACTCCTGCCTGGCTCTTCCCACCAGTGGCAGCAGCTGAGCCAGGCAGGCCCTGCCCCAGTTCCCTTTGCATGATGCCCAGACCAAGATCCCCGGCATGCTGCTTTCTGAACCGGCCAGACTCATAAGCCAGGGTTGCTCTTGGTTTAGGATTCTGTCCTGTTCGGAGAGAAATATGCCACGGATCCCAGCTCAAGTGCCGTGCGAAGTAAGGAGTGAGCAACTCTGGTGGCTTCCAAGGAAAATTTTCCTTCTGTCCTCCAGAGGCACCAGGGGCCATGTGGATCTAAACCACAGTTGGCACCGCCACACCACTGATCTGGCCACGGAAAATTGGCAGCACGGTGGCCAAGATTCTGCAATTTCCCTTCAAAACAAACTTTTTAGAGAAACATGGTCTTTGGGGGAAGCCAAATGAAGTTGTAGGCGGCTCTGGGAGCACCCTTCACCCGTTTTGAAAGCTGCCTCATGGCCAATTTGACAGCAACCACAAAAGAGACAGAGGAGGCCATGGGGGGGGGGGCTGCACGCGGCCCAGTCCAGCACCAAGGACAGGGATTTCTTGGCTTGTGCCTTCTTCCAGGCAGGACCCTTCGGGTTTTGAACAAAAAATGATTGTAATGAGGGCAGCACCATTTTAGTGACTTGTATGTTCGTAGACTTTCCTGAGTAGAGAATTGGAAACTCGGTCTTGCCAGTTATACTCCAACAATCCGTGCTACGGCTTTCCAAAAGTCACCTTGAGTATTTTAAGGGTGGGGTGTGGATCGTTTATTCAGTAGTATGTTTCTCTCCCATCCTGCTGCCCAAAGTGTTATGGCTGCATGTGTATTTCTCTTCCCTCCCCTTCTTTATCCTTAGAACCAGCCTCTGGGGCAGATTAAGTGTATGTGGGGAGAAGGGGGCGGGGGAGTGACAGACAGACAGAGCCAGGATCACCCAGTGAGTAAACCCTAACAGGGGGGTCCTTTTGGGGCCAAGAGGAGACTTGAGCCCAAGTCTTTCAGTGTGACACCAGCCTGCCTGTGACTAGAACCTTGGTCCTCCCACTTGAACTCACCACTCCAGCCAGAAAGTTACCCTTCTCGGTTCTTACCTCTCCCTGGCGCCTCATTTTGGGAGAAGGACTGAAGAAGTTGTGCAGGACAGAGAGATCGCTGCTGAAGAGCGCATTCTCTTTCTCCAGGATGTACTGCTTCAGCAGTGGAGACACCTCATCTCCAAACAGGGCCTGGTTATCCTGCCAGATCTGACGCTTCACCTCCATGGCACAGGCTTTGTAGAGATCTTTGTCAGCCATCACCAGCTTCAGCTTCTTTTCAGGAACCTGTAGCCAAAACAGCCATGGAAGTCAATCACTGCCTATTTCATTTTTGTTGGAATCATCTCTGGCCACTTCAAATGGCTTTGGATTCCAGGGTAGCTTGAGATTTTACTCCCTCTGCTCTTGAAATTTACTCCCTCTGCCCCTGAGGCTGCATGTTTTCTGCCCTCCACAACCACGGGCTTGAAAGCGCAGCGGAAATGCCTGTGAGACTCTCTCTGGCTAGATGGTGGGAGGATCGGGTGAAGACAGAGCTTTTGCTCCCCAGGGGCTCCATGCCCTCACCACAATTAGAACAGACAAAGAAACGGCGCACCACGTCCCCAGACACGCTGCGCATCATAGATGCAGGTTTCAGAACGCAGCTCTTTCTGGGGAAGAATCTGGGCCTTGTCTCAAAGAATCTCCACCAGGGAGGGAGGGAGGAAGGAGCATGCTGGATGCCAAGCAGATCTCTTACCACTGAACTACACCCCTTTAGCTTTAACAGGCAGCGACTTCACAGAGCATCTGTTCAACTGCCTCAACACTGTTTATAGAAGGAGTGGGGAACCTGTGGTCCTCCAGCTGGGGCTGGGCTCCAAATCCCATCGGCATGGCCAGTGAGCAGGGATGCTTGGAGCGCGAGTCCAACGACATACGGAAGGCTGATCTGCTTATTTACTCACTTGATTTGTGCTCCACCTTTCTGCCCAGAAAAATGGCACTCAGGGCAGCTTGCAACCAAAATGAAACGCACACAGGGTTAGAAACACGACTGAATGAAAATGGCCTCCAATCCAACAGACCTGCTTAGGTGCTCTGGATCTTCCTGAATGAAAAGGCGCTTGCCTGCTGGCAGAAGAACCACGTGGGGGAGCAAACCCACCTCCTCTTAGCAGGGAGTTCCACCGGATGCCCAGAGGCGTCCACTAAGTAGGCCGAGTTTCACAGGGTTACCAGCAATCCTTGTGCTAACCAGCCGTGGCCACTCCAGCATCCCAAACAGAGGTCTTTTTCACCCTTACCTGTGGACTGAACCTGGGACGTTCCCCATGCAACACACATACTCGGCCATGGGACCTTCAAGAATGCCGCTGAATTCTATGCCCAACACCAATTTTAGTGCCTGGGAAGATGATGGACACCCCTTACCAAGAGCCGGTGACACAAAGACTGAACGGTGTCTCTCGTCAGTGTCTACCTTGGGCAGGTGTTTCATGACACACATCACCACGGGCTGTATGGATGGCATCTTGACTAAGGGGAAGCTCTTCTCCAGCAGATCTTCCAGCTTTTTGTACCTGGAGCATGGAAGAATGAAGAGGCATCCAAAACTGTTTTAGCACTGTTCCAGACATGTTTGGAGGAGAGTATTCTCTCTGCAGCAGTGTTATGAACACACCTTTCTTCAGCCTTCCCTTCGGAGGCAATGGCGGAGACCCTCTCCAGCAGTTTCTCTCTCAGCTCATCAAACACCGACTGGTGGAACTCAAGCCGGGGGGTGCCATGCAGGTCCAGGAATGGCAGAGCAGACTGGAGAGAAGGCAGCAGGATCCCATTTTCTGTCTGTCAACATAACACACCATATTAAGACAGCCTGTGGAAGATATTATGCATATTCCTAATGTGCTGCTGTTTTTCCTGTACTGAATTGCTTTCAATTGCAGATGTGGAATGCAGGTGTGAGAAACTCTGCGATGTGGTGGCTAGAATGCTGGACTAGGGACTCTGGAGATCTGGGTTCTAGTCCATGCTTGGCCATGAAGTTCACTGGGTGACTTCCACCCAGTCACTCACGCTCAGCCCAACCTACCTCACAGGGTTGGTTGTGAGAATATAATGGAATGAAAGAGAAAGAGGATTACATAAACTGCCTCGGGTCTGCTGAGAGAGGAAAAAGAATCAGGGTATATATGTAATCATAAATACATAAAAGCGTTCTCGTTCCTTCTCGGCCAAGGTGCTCACTAGGTGATGTTCAGTCAAATTCTGCCTCTCAGCCTTACTGACTTCACAGGAGTGTTGTGGAGAGGAGAAAGATGATGAGGAAGAGGTTTGTTTTCAAGAGGAGGAGGAAAAACTTGTAAGTCACCTTGGTTTGGTACAATCACAATTAATATTGGGTTCAGTTCTGAAAAAGGCCACGATTGAGTTGGAAAAGGTACAGAGGAGGGCAATGAAAACGGTCAGGGGCTGGAGCAGCTCAGGTAGGAGGAGCAGGTACAACAGCTGGGGCTGTTCAGCTCAGAAAAATGGCAAGGAAGAGGAGGCGTGAGAGAAATGTTTAAAATAATGCATGCTGTGTGGGGAGAGGGAGACATGTCCTCCCTCTCCCATAACACTCAAACCCAGGGTCATCCCCGGGGGTGCGACGGGGGGCGGGGGGACTTAGGACAGATAAATGGAAGCACTTCCTTGCACAGCATAAGGAATTTGTTGTCATAGGAAGTGCCGAAGGCCCCCATTTCGGCAGCTTTAAAAGGGGGCTAGCCAAGTTCGTGCTGGAGGAGGCTGTGCGCCACCTCCAGTGCCAGTTCCAGCAGGCCTGCGTTCACCAGGGAGAGCTCGAGCAGGCCGAAGCCTTGCACCCATCGTCTTGAGCGATCACTGGCCTAATCCAGAAGGGCTTTTCTAGTGTTCTCGTGGGCTCCTGGCAGGAAAAAGGCAGGCATACAAACCTAATGAAAACAATAAATAAATCTGGAGGGCATCAGGTTGGGCAAAGCCGATCTAGAAGGCCTGATTCTGTTTCAGAACAGAGAGGAGGGAGGCGGTGACTGGAAACGCTCTGTACACGCTCAGAGGCACGGCTGCCTTCCCGTCAGTACGACCAGGGCTGGCGAGGACTCCCCCCCCCCCCCCCAGCGCAGGAGGCGCGAGCCCGGCGCCCGGCGGGTTAAATCTCCATGGCAACGGGAGGGACGGGGCGCGGCCCACCCACCTGGAACTGCTCGATGGCCTTCAGCGGCTCCGTGCAGTTCGTCAGCGTCTCCTTCAAGTCTTCCCCGTTGGCCACCCCGAGCTCCTGCAGCCCGGCGAACATGGCACGACGCCCCCCGCCTCGGGGTCCCGACGGCTCCCAACGGCCGGCGTCCGTTCCTGAAAGCGCCCCTCCAGGGCGCCGAGGTGCGGCGCGCGCGCGCTCCCTCCCGGAAAACGCTCCTCGGACACAAGGGTTCCGGTCTGGAGCAGGCTAAGCTGTGGGGCCCCTCGCGTAGGGATGCGGGCGGGCGGCTCTTGGCTCTCCAGTGCCCGGGACTCGTCGGCACTGCTTATCACCACTACCACCCCCTTGTGTTATAGAAATATGCAAGGTGCTTTACAGATGCATAACCCTACAGATTGATACAAACCCCCCACAGAGCTTCGGCTCTGGGGCAGGATAGATATAAAATAAATAGACAAACGAATACATATCGAAACATAAATTATGGCCAGGCCAGACAAGGCCTGCTCCTCTGCACCCCAGTCCCTTCTCAAGAACAGACTTTAACCTGGCAGAATTTAAGGTGCTGATGAGCTTTAAAAGGCATAAGGGAAGGGGGCACCTAAAGGACTCCCAAAACGGCCAGGAAACATGCTGGCAGAGCGTATTTGCGGATTTCCCATACATAAGGGCAGCTGGTTGGCCCCAGTGGAAATAATATAATTGTAGAATAGTGGAAATAATCCTCTGTTGATGCATTATACTTTTCTCATGTGTGGTTGTTTTTAAATTACATCGTTGTTTGGTTGTTTGTACATCTGCTCTCTAAATTGGTTTGATTTTATGATGATATTTTTGCCTTCATCTGAATGGCTACTGTGAGAAACAGGTGCTAATGGTGATCCAATTCAGTCCGAGTGTCTTCCTGCATTTATTATGACTTTGTGGTTGCAAGCCACCTCCCTCTTGCCAGGCAGGAAGGTGGGATCCAAAAAATCCCCCATGAATAACCGTTAAGCATCTGTAAGAAAGAATGATACGGAAAGGGAGGATGTACAGAGTGTTTTGAATCGGAGAAGTCGGGCTGGCCTGCCAAAGAGGAAGTGTGCCTGTTTCAGCATGTTCATTTTTCTGTTTGATGTCCATTTTCTGTATTCTCAGGAGCCAGTCGGTTGATTCTCCAGACCCTGGTCTGAAGGGTGGAATTATTGCCATACAGATTGGCACACACACTGCTTTCAGGCTTGCTTAGAGGTTTGGTGAGCACCCGTGATTAGCTTTAGCTTGGGCATCGGTGTGCTTCCACAAGGCCCAAGATTCCCTCCCACTTCGCTGCTACCATGTCCCAATCCTCTGCCACACTTGGCAGCCTCCAGAAATTCTGAAATACAAGTCCCATCAGTCTCAGCCAATCCCTGGAGGGCACAGGTGGGAGAAGACTGCTGCAGCATGATAAATTAACAGGCAGGGAGGAAATAGGCTGACCCTAGGCTGTCCTTTATTTCCTCACACATAATATGTGCAATTATTCCTAGAGTGTTGTCTTTGGGCATGATTTTGCAGTGAGGGCAAAATTAGCCTTCCAGCCCTAACAGAAGGCAGCCAAGCCTCACTGGTCACAATCCTACAAGAAGTACAAACAGCCCTTGTAAAGAGAATGCATAAAAATACACCATGCTCTGGGCGCTTGCCCACTTCGCTATTTCTTCCCTGTCTTCATGTCTTATTATATTTTAATGATTCAAATCAGTTTTAGGAGGCCTTTAAGGGTAGAATCCTGCCCTCCCCACCCCCAGAAGTATGCATGAATGCACACAGGTATGCACGGGGAGCACACTGCAATAAAGCAGTCTCCGATCCCACTGTTATTTGGTGTGATGTTTAATTAATGTCCAAACCACTGGAAAAGAATCTTGATGCAGTCGCATAATCTGGAAAAAGCAACAGAACGGCAAGTTGGGGCCAACAAGAAGACTCTTTGCTGCCGGGTGGGGTGGGGTGGGTCGCCCCATAGTTTTGTTTTTAAGCAAATCCATAAATTTTGGGTTTCCTGAAGCTGGTCTACTGACCTTGTGCACAGATGGACAGATGGTGCTGTTTGGTTGAACTAAGCAATGAAGCTCACCTCTGAACACTGAAAATAAGGGGACCGATGGCATTAAGACCGCTTCTCTGCACTGTTTTACTAATCTGTCCATGCACAGTGCTAAAGTGTGGGGGGGGGGGGTTCAAACCAGCCGAAGTTAATTAATGCTGGGGCAATCCCTGCATGCTGAAATTAATTTTAGGCATCCTCTTAATTGAACCAGGATTCGAGAGAAGTGGAATATGGGGCAAAGGGAATGGACTGAACGAGAGAAGGATGGGGTGCGGGAGAAGCACCGGCCCTTTCCGAGCCGGGAAGCTATGCTTCCCACAGTGACTCCTGCATGACGTTCAGGAGCTTCCCTGACTAATGGCCTAGAACAAAGTAGAAAGAGCCAGAGGTGTCCAGAATGACATTGAGGACAAAACACATTTCATACCCCCCGCCCCCCTGCGCACACAATGAACTGGAGAGCTGTTTTCTCATGGCATGGGCTGCAGGACTAGGGAAAGCCCAGAGACAAAGGAAATCCCCTCCTTTCCCCGTCTGCTTAACAAGCAATTCACATCTGGCTGGACGGAGCATAAAGTTTTCCGTATCAAACCTTCCATTTTTTTGTATGCAAATTAGAAGCACCGATAAATTTTTCATGGCCACATTCACAAATTACCAGACGGGTTCACAATAGATTAGCATGTCTCTCTCGTTCCAGAGGGCAGACGCTTTGGATTGATGAGTTCTTGTCCTGAACCAGATGCCTGCTCATCTCAATTCATTTGGAAAGGGAGAGGGGCGGGGAAGAAGGCAGCCAGCGATCCAGCATCGCTGACCCATCTCATCGAGGCTGCAGGCAGCCGTTTTGCTCTTCTTTAGAAGTCACATGAAAAGGAAGAATCAGTGTTCTATTATTCTCTGCATGATTGATCCGTTGGGTGGCCACTGGCACATTGCCAAAGAGAAACCCTCTCCCTGCAAGAGAGGGTCTGAAAGCATACATACATGTACCGATATGTGGTGCTGAAGCACACGGTGACCTGGTTTCCCCACCTGGTCAAGGAGCCAACTGGGTGACTTTGGGCCAGTCCCAGACGCTCAGCCCGGCCTCCTTCACAGGGCTGTTGTTGTGGGGATAAGGTTAAGAGAAGCAGGAGAATGGTGTAAGCCACTTAGAGTTTGTTATAAGAAGAAAGGGGGATATCAATCTGTGGAATAAATAAATATATGCTAATGCATATATGCAAATTTGGAAAGAATGGCTATAATTTAAAAAGAAATGCAGTGCAGCTCTTCCTGCAGGCTGCTGGGGGAACAGAAGGGCAGGCTAGAAAAGCTTCGTTCTGGCCAATATCTGCCGCCCCCTCCTCCTTCCCCATCCCCTTTTGTGTCTTGTAGATGAAAAGCCAGTGGGGGCTTAAAGTATGTGTAAGGCACTCTGGGAAACTCTTTCAGTTGAAAAACAAGGTTACAAATGCTTGCAATAAAATAAAATAAAATAAAATAAAGGGGTTAGTTGAATTTATGGAGGAAGAAAACTTGAAAAACAGCTTCTGGTCTTGATGGCTAAATAGAACCTCCATGTTCAAAGGCAATATGGCAACAATACCGGTTAGGGAAGCACTAACGGGTCTGGTCCAGCGGCCTCGTTTTTCTTCTTCTTAAGTCCTCCTCAGTGAATGTTCCGTATAAATTGCAATTGGGTTTCACAACGCAGTGACTTTCAACCATTTCCATAGGTCTGTCAGGTTTTTGCAGAGTTGCTTCTTAATGAATGAGTAGCCCATCTGTGGCTCTGTGCACAAATCCAGACAGTGCTAAGGGGAACTGGTAGCCTATCCGGGCTATTTATTGTTAATACATAAACCAACAAACCAATAATACTTTACAACCATGTTGCTCCACTTTTACAGTTGTGGCTTCCTCAAAAGAAGCATCAAGGTGGATAAATTTGTTACCAAGGATGGAGAAGTCTTGTCTTTCAACAAAATCTTCACCGAGTTCCGTGGGATTGCCCACTCTTGGACGGATGTAGCCCCGTTGGGTCTGTTAGCTGCTTCTCTCTGATCCATCATTTTCTCCAGTTTCTAATTTGCTAGTTATAGTGGATGATAGTCTCACGAGGCTTTGTGTGTGTGTACGCGCACGCAAGGGGTGGGGTGAGGTGTAGGAGCGGAGGATTGAGGTGTTCTGTCTTTCTTGGCCTTGTCAGATTCATAAATATGCAGATGGAAACGTGGGAGAAAAACATTTTCTGCACGCTTTCGAAAAGAATGACAGGCAAACCAGGGGAGCAAACAAAAACAGATCACCTGTCGAGAACGAGGTCTGTCCAGCATGTCATCTTCCGCTATGAAATGCAGCTCCTTGGTTTGCCACTGTCACCGGTACCTTTGTCAAAGGCTAGCAAGGACCTCGGGCGTTCCTGTGCCTCACGAGGTTGGACGGCCACGTGTCTGTGTGGTAACAGACACCGATCCACCGCCAGTGCTCCTTCGCTGCTGGTGATGTCACTTTGCAAAACCATAATCAGAGCCGTTGCCATGGGGACAATACTCCCGTGGCATCTGCTGTGCGCCTTTCCATCTCTGTGTGACTCAGGGAATGTGTGCCGCCAGCCAAGCCTCCCTCCGATCGCTTGAGCCAGAGCACACTTCACTGGGCACTTTGGCAAGAGGGCTGTGCAGAAGGTCACTCGAATCACATCGTCCCGAGGGCTGCACAGGACAGGGCCGGAACATGAATGGAACTCATGGGGCTCCAGGAAGGAGACAGGGGCAAAACGAGGCACAGGCAGCCCCAGGTCAACAATAAAGGGGACGCAGCAGCGGCCACGTGGTATGCCAAGGATGCACAGAGCAAATTTGAGACTTGGAGCTTGCTGGTCCCCCTGCCATGAGAGGGGAGGATGCATTGCTTCACCTCCTTCCAAATGTAGTGAGCCAGCCCTCCTGCATTCCCCCAGCCCCTCTAAAAAGGGCTGCTGACCCATATCTCCATAGACCTTTCTAAGATAATGCCCCCAGCTATAATTATGGGGTGTCCACTTGAGCATCTCCAAAATAGAGGGTAAAAAGAGGACAAAGATATGCAGATTAAATATCTGTAATTTCCATAATCGTACATCTGGATGGTGCATTTCAAAGGAGCTTCAGGCTTGGTTCAGGGACAGCTTGTGTCACCTTGGTGATGGATCCCAAAGCCAGGAACTGGACTCAGGTCAACTGTCCTAATTAGTTTTGCTGGACCTCTTCCTAGCTTTGGATGCCCTTGTCCGCCGTGCCCTTCTGAAGCCTCTGTCTCAGAAGAGGCCGGGAAGTGCTGTCCAATAGCGTTGCACCCCTTACTGGAGCAGCGATCCCAGAAAGTGGTGCAGAGGGAATCCCAGGAGCCACCTTATCCCCCCTGCTGCTTAACATCCATTATTATTATTCCATTGCATTAGTATCCCGCCGTTGCAAGGATCCCAAGGCGGCTTGCAAGCGTCCCCCGTCGACTTTATCCTCGCAACAACAACCCTGTGAGGTAGGCTCGGCTGAGCGTCCATGCATGGCCCGGAGTCAGCCAGTAGGCCTCACCTGCTTCGGTTGCCAACCGGCACCTTCGCGGGCTGGATGAATCCTCAGGCGCCCGTTGGGGACGTGGGCTGGCCTCCCGCAGGGATCGGGTCGTGAGGCAGGCCCGCTTCAGTCCCGCCACTCAGCGACCTCATTGGCTGGGAGACAGCCGCGCCCCGCCCCCTTTCTCCCCCCCCCGCATCCTCTCCGCCAATCCTGTCCCGTTTCGTCTCATTTCCTAGGAGACAGTTGCCAAGGAAGGCTGGATACGAGAGAGGAGGAGGAGGAGGAGTCACAAAGTACACAACACCCACCCACCCACCCAGAGAGAGGGAGGAAAAAAAATAAAACAACAGATTGGCGCATGCGCTCTCAAGGTAGCAACCCGGCGCGAGGCGCCTCGAAAGGTGGAGGAGGAGGAGAGCGACAGAAGGCGCGCGTGCGCGTTCCCTTGCTCGCCTTCCTCCCCGCTCCCTCGTCGGGCGCGCGCGCGCCTTACTGTCACCCGGGCGCGCCGGGCGTCGCGGGACGGCTCCGCCCCCCTCCCCTTCCCTTCCGCCCCCTCCCAGCTCGGGGTGAGTGTGCACGCGCGCGCGCGCGCGCTCGACCGCCCGTCCTCCCGCCCGCGCTCTTTTCTCCCGATGATTCCCTGTCGATGAGGCGCTGCCGGAGAGGGCGCGCGCGCTCGTGCCCGCGCCTCGCGCCCGCTTCCCCTCAGCCCTTTCATCCTCCTCCTCCTCCTCCTCCTCCCCCCCAGCCGGCCCTTGCCGCCCCTCCTCCGAGGCTGCCCGGCGGAGCCCCGGCCGCCCGCCCCGCTCGCGCGCAGCCCCGGCCGCCCCCTCTCGCCGCCGCCGCCGCGGCTAGCCTTGCGGGCCTGGGAGCGGCCGCCGGCGGGGGCTTGGACGCGGCGGCGATGATGAGGTAGCTGCGGGGGGAGCGGAGCGGAGTGCGGCAGTGCGGAGGGGGCGGGGTGGGGGCAGGGTTGGGGCGGGGGGCGCGACGCGCGGCTGGCGTGGGGGCGGGGGCGTCTCGGGGGAGGGGGCCCGGCCCGCCTCGCCCGGTGGGCTCGCGGGGCTCCTGGGGCGGGGGGGCGGCCGCTGGGCTGACCCCGCGGGGCTCTTCGTCCGTCGCCGGGATGGGGGGGGGCGGGCCGCAGATTTTGGGCAAGGGCTGGCGACGGCGTGACACGAGCTGCAGTGACGGGGGCATCGGGGGCGCCTTGAGGGGGCCGGCCCGGGGCTTGCTTGGGGGCGGTGGGGATGGCCGCGCGCCTGCCGCCTTGGATCTGACTGGATGGCATTGTCTTTAGGATGGGGAGGGGGTGGGGTGGGGTGGGGTGGGGCGGCCCGGGTGGGGAGGGGGGCCGTCATTGTGTGGCTCTGCCGGGGGTCTGGACCCGGCTGGTGCTGGCGCGCGTTGCCGTTGGGGCAGTCGCGGGAGGGGAGGGGAGCGGGGCAGGGCCGCGCGCGCGGGGGGCTGGAAGGAGTTACGGGGTCACAGAGGAGGGGTTTCTGGGCGGATGTGGGTCGGGTGGCTCCGAGCGCGGCTGAGGTGTGGGGGCAGCCCCGCAGCCAAGGGGAAAGGTCAGGATCTGGGCTGCCCTCCGTGCGCGCGCGCCTGCTGGTGTTTGTGCCTCCGGGAAGAAGAATTGCTCGGCCGATCCACGTCGTTGTGCATACGGGCAGTTTTTCCGTGTCCAAAGCAGGAAGCCGGGAAAGCGGTGCGGAGCAGGGGTTGGGAGCGGGAGGAGGGGGTGCGCGAGGGGCTAGCTTTTGGATAAGGGTTGGGAGGGTATCTTGTGAGCGGGGGCAGTTAGGATCCGGGGTAAGGAGGTGGGAATCGGGTTGCTAAGGAGATGTGGGTATCTCTGGAGGAGCTGAAGGCAGCTGGGAGGAGGGTGAGGGAGGAAGGGGTCATCGTCGCCGTCACACCAGATCTTGGGTAGGCTGGGAGCAGGGGCTAGGAGCGACTGGGGGACTGAGAAGGAGCCGGGAGCATTTTGGAAGAAGAGAGTGAGACAGCAAAAAGGGAATGCGATGAATGAGGAGGACGGTGCTGAGGGGGTGTCCTTTGTCGCCTTTGTTGGGGAGCCACCCTGGCAGGAAAGGTAGGTTGACACGCCTTCCTTTTGCCGCCTTGATCCTGGCTTACAGCAGAATGTGCGGGCGAAAGGGGTAAAGGAGAGGTTGGTGGAAGGATGTCTGCATCGTGCCCACCACCTTTATCCTCTTGCCTCCGGGAGTCTGACGCTTCTGCTCATCTCATCTAGCCACTGATCCTTCTTAGGTGTAGCAGGATGAGACGCGATCAGGGCATGGCAAGGAGGGGAAGGCACAGGCCTACCGCTGGCTTCTTCCCCCGCTGCGCTAGGCTTACCACCCCCTTCCCATTGTTGGAGAGATCAGATGATCATGTCCCCCTTCAGTAAAGTGCTAGGCACCTTTCTGTATTGTTCAGCTGTTTTGTTGGCTCACTGGAGAGAGAGATCCGCAGCGGGCCTGTGATGATGGCGGGTATGGATTGTACGGGATGAGTATGAATTGTATGATTGTCTCCAGTCCAGAAGCTATCCAGATATAGGGCGATATACAGGTGCTGTCAATAAATAAGACAGCTTGTGTGCTTATATTTCTTTGTATGGCTGAGACAATTGGTTTACCCTGTTCCATTACCCTGTTTTGGTATCTGTCTGTGTCTTAGCTTCAACAGGCTGACTGTTAGAAGGGGCAAAGATTTCCAGCCGAATTTTGCTGGAAGGCCAAACCGTAGCGTTAAAAGAAATCCCCAATGGCTCTGAGATTATGTGCATTGGTACTTGGTTTCCAACAAAACACATGAAGCATATGCGTGCTAGGCTGGGTCTCGTTTCTTTTTGTTTCAGATGGTGGATGTTGGTGCTTGCGCTTGTGGGAATAGCACCAGAAGAAAAATGGATGCTCTAACAGATAGTGCAGCTGAGATCATTCCACTGGCGCTCTATGATTCAGCCCGAGCAAAAATAGCTGCTAATCTACAATGGATCTGTGCTAAGGCCTATGGAATAGGTAAAAATCCCCATTGGATGGTTATTCTTTTATCTCTCTTCCCTGATGTGTGCGTTTCCTGCCCTTTCCCCTCAGATGTTAAATAGGTCTGAAATGGTACACGCTTTAAAAATCGCTTGTGTGTCAGGGTGATTTGCCCGCTTGCCCGTTTCCATGTTTTTGGACATGGAAGTATTAAACACCTGCCAAGGGCCTTGTCGGAGTGCAGGCCTTTTGTTGTTGCGAATCGCTTGGAGTGGCAAGAGCATGAAATTCTGCTGGGTTGTTTTTGTTTCACCCAATAGTGCTGTTCTGCACAATGTTAAGACCTACACACACTCAGCCTTTTCAGGCCCACAGTCTTTACTGTGTGAGCAATTTTGAGAAACACATTTATCCTTGATGGTTCATAATTGATTAGCAATATAAAAGCAACCTAGTGATTTTGGTAGGGTCGACTGTAGACTTTTCACTCATCAATATTTGTTTTAGCCATGGTTCGTGCATTTAATACCGTCTTTCCCTGTTGGGTAACAAGGTGAGCTGTGTAGATCATGAATAGATGTTGTTGTAAGAAGTACCTAGTTGAAACATCAGTTAATATAAAGGCTTAATGGGGACCTTTCCAGTGTTGTCCCCCCCCCCCCCCGGGTAAAGCAGCTGGTCCTTTGCCTTGCAGTACATCATTCTTGCCTATTTGGAGCTCTAGGTTTGTTTTTGGTTACTTTTTTTTCCTTTGAGCAAAGGTCCTTGTCTAGTTATTTCTTTTTGTTTTGGTTAACAACATATTAACATTATCTAATTTTTGAGGAAAAAATAAACAGTTCCCTTAATCTAATTTGCCAAACTGTGATATGCATACGGTGTAATCCTGTGCATCTTTGTTAAAGAAAAAGACCTAGGTTGGCTGGAATATGCTGGTAAGTGCAGGCCTTTTCCCCATCCAAACATGAATAGGATTGTGCCCTTAATAGATTAACATATTCTGCTGTGTGATTGTGTCAGTGTATTCCAGCAGTCACTTGACTTTTGTTTGTTTTCAGCTAAAGTGTTTCTTTTTTGCTTCCAGAATTGTTAATGTTGTGGGGATGGTGTAGTTATATTAGAAGCTTTGACCAAGTTTTGTATTGTTCAGTTCTGTTAATAAAAGCATGGTAAAATGTCAGTATGTAGCGAAGTTAAACTATATCTCTCCCCATCGCACAGTTTATAACTGCAGTTCAAAAATGTAAAAGGTGAGCACTGATGGAAATAGGCACTTTCTGATTATTTGTGATTTGCTTCCAATAGTTTGTGCTTGATTAAACAGTATATAAATATTGTAATGACTTAGTATATTGTGCCGCCATGCAAAATAGTTTTATGGCTTGTGTTTATGTTTATAACCTCCATGGGAACTGCTAGCATGTGAAGGCAGGTTCTGTACATAGTTATACTTGCTTTCAAGATCAGTGTTAGATTTTCTTGTTTGCCATTCTGTTTCACATTTAAAACAAGTTTACTAATTCAGTAAATAGAAGTTAGGTTTATACACTTGTGCTCTGCATTCTCCCTACCACTAAGAAATATCCCATGGGCATGTTAATGTTTTCCAATTGCAGTGTTACCAGAATCCTGAGCATTTCACTTTAGAAATTAACCACCTGTTGTTGTCTTTAAGTGTTCCTTAGAAGGCCTGGTGATAAGCCAATATTCTCTCAAACGAAATGCTCTTGTTAAAAATGTCATTGCACTGGAGGCATAGCCAGACTTTTTGCAAGGCATGATTTCTGTTCCTCACAGACGGTAGTGCTGTTGAGGAGTGAGAGGGGTTACAATGCATAGCCCTTGTCCAGTGCCAAAGGTCTTGCAAAATGCCGGATGTATCCCTTCCCTTTGATCTTCAAGTGATGGTCTAACTTAAGATGGCTTCAAGTATCTGAAGCCAGCCTTGGTTTTTTTAATATATATATATATATATATATATATATATATATATATATATACACACACACACACACACTTACAAAACATCTGTGTAATCACACTCCGCAGAGGCTTTTAGACAGTCTGAGTTAGTTATACAGTGTTACAAGATAATCTACTTCTTTCTAAGTTTCTGAGCAGTCAGCAGTGAGGTAGGTTTTCTGAAAAAATTTGAATTTTCCAGAGCAAATTAGGTTAATTTACATAGGGTCATTGGCTTAGCAAAATGTTCAGCATGTATCAGAAAATCTCATGCCCCAAAGAAAGTAAGCAACTTGTGGCCCTTCAAATGTTTTGGCCTTCAACTCTCATCATTTCTTATCATTGGCTCAGCTGGCTAGAGCTGATGGAAGATGTTGTCAGAAACTTCTGGAGAGCCACATGTTGCCCATTCCTGCCCTAGAGAGGTTTAGTTTAGCATGTTTATTTTATTTACGTTTAGAATACATACGGCTAAAAAAGTCTCAGTACAGGGTAAATATTTGACTTTAAATATTTTAGTGGAGGTATTTAAAGCTCAGTTAGTGTTACTTAAATTATGCAGAAATTTTAATTGGAATACTTAAGTCTATAATAGTACATACTCCTCTTACACTGCTTAAATTCATGAAAAAGGTTACTGAAAACTGTTGACACACTAATAAATTTGAGTAACCCAAAGAACTGTGCATGCTCTCCAGACCAACTTTTCTGATTCAGCAGTTCTCTTCCACTGGAGCATTTTAATATTTGCAATATTGTCTATTGGTTCTGTTTCACACTGAGACATATGTATTTCGATGACAGAGGTGTTCTTCCACATATTGGTTATCACCTATAAAGCCCTCAACGGCTTGGGACCTGGTTATCTAAAGGACCGCTTGCATCCATATGTGCCCTTGAGATCGGTGGCAGAGGCCCTCCTCCGGGAGCCCTCCGTGAAGGACATTAGGAGGGTGAGCACCCGGAGGAGGGCCTTCTCTGCGGTGGCACCCCACCTATGGATGGAATGCGCTCCCCAGAGAGGGCCGCCTGGCGCCATCGTTGTTTTTCGGCACCAGGCCAAGACCTTTTTATTTACACGTTATTTTAATGGTTAATTGTATTTATTAATTTTATATCTGTGCCGAGATGTCTCCGGGTTTTTAAGGTTATTGTATGATTGTTTATTTGTTTTGTAAGCCGCCCCGGGGCTTTTTGCGAATGGGGCGGCATAGAAATGTTCTAAATAAATAAATAAATGATATTCACTAGGGACAGTTACCTGAAAACCATTAATTTAAAACTGCTAAGCTGGCCCAACTTTAATATTGTTTATGTAATTGGCATCCCATCCGTTTTACTAATGAACTTATGAAATGAACATTTTCTGTAGAAAAATGAAGCATTAGGAAAAAAAATTCTGGCTCACCTCATGGATAATGGTGCATTCCTAAGGGGGGCCGAGTGCGTTGTCAAGTAGCCGTCACTTCCCAAGCCTTGCCATCTTATGCCAGCCAGGGTGGGAGATGGAGCTTCCCTTTTCAATTCTGCGTGCTTCTCCAGTGTCTCTTCCAGTCCCCGCCCCTGGGGGTGAGTGAGTTATGCCAGCCCATGCTGGCCGGGTGGGTGTGAACCCAAGGCCTCTCTGATGAATGAAGGTGTCGCTGATCCTGTGTCCCTGTTGTGGGAATGCTGCCCTTGGTACTGTCTTGCTGTAAAACCTTGGGCAGGCAGGACTGGGGCTGCAGAGGAGATGTTCCCGGAGGCTGCCAGGACTCTTCGCTGGTGGTGTAGCACCTTTGCCCGATCCAGCTCCTCCTCAGACAGCTGTCCTGGGGTCAGGGCTAGGATTAATCTGTAATCTTTTGCAATGATAGCTTTGGCTGTTCCCAGCATAACACATAATTATGGCATGATAGTATTATTTAGCACATTCATATTATTAAAAAGCTTAAGTGCTGCTTAAACAGATAGTTCCAATAATAAAGCAGTCCACTTGTATGTAATGCCCTTGTCATTGATGGGCCATTAGCTAATTCATATTGACTTTGTGATCACCTGTAACCATAGTAGAGGTCAAGAACCTATTGCAATGGTCCACCCTTGGAAACTGATGCATCTAGAGGGTTTTCTGAAGTCTCCAGGAGTGGGATTCGTCTCACATAATTAAGGCATGTTTTAGCTCTTGCTTGGATGTCTCCCTGGGTCAGAGGCCAACACTATGGCTGAACCCAGATGTTCTTGACCTGATCGCAGAGCTTCAGCGCCTGGCTTTCTGGAGAACTGCAGGCAATGCAATGGACTGGTGATCAGTGGGCAGGTGGTCAGAGACCAGTGGGCTGAGCATCACTCAACACAGAGGAGAAGCCCTTGTAGCAGAGGAGAACCACTGAGGTGATTGTGAGTTTCCCATGGAGGCTTGAGCACTCTCCACAAGGCCTGCCTCCCCCCCCCCCCCCAGTCTAACCCCATGATTCGTGGGGAGGGACTCCCCTGTTACCTTTTAATGGAAGTGACAAGGGGCTTCCACTGTGTGCCCTGCATCCTCCCAGTGGGAAGATGAGCAACACAAACAGGCATTCCTTGATTCTGTTCAGCAGTAGATGGAAGGTGGAGAACCCTTCCCATGCCTCTTGTGCCAGCCAGGGCTTGGGCGGCGCTTGCAGGAACGAGTTGCTACAAATGCTGGCCAGCTTGCTTTCTCTGTGCTTCTTCCTGCACGGAGGAAAATTATGGTACCAAGGGAGAGGGAGGGATGGTATCATCTGATGGCTTGATCAGAGGGCTGTTCCAGCACCCAGGCCAAAACTGGTTGCTTAACCTTACATTATAGGGGCTTATTCTGTTGGTGAAGAAATCTTGCTGCTGTGGAGTACGAGAAAATAGAAGAATCTTCCACATTGAGAAACTTACAGACACGTTTCTTGTTCTAATGGGGATTTTAATCTACTTAGATTGCCCCCAATCTCAAACAGGGCTCTGCTCTGCCTTGAAAGTTATTGTTTGATTTTATGACAGAAGGACGCCCACCTTCAGATAAAACAGTAATGGTCTTGTCTTCTTTATCTCAGTTAAAAATGTCTTCATTCCAGTGG